AAAAAAAAAAAAAAAAAGAAAGAAGAAGACTGAAATTTGGTCGTTATGTCAAAAGTAATAAATAAATAAATTTTAAACCGTAGTCCTAAATTTAACCCGACCCAAATTCAATCCCGAGAAAAAATAGATCCGCTACTCGACCCGGTACTAGACCTCCATATAGAGCAGACGCCATTGGTCCAGAACGCCAAAAAATTCAACTTTCTTCTCAACAGCAGCAGCCCCGAAACACTGAATACTCAGCTCTAAAGCCTTGATGTGGCCGAGTGCAGAAGGAGGGCCTCCAGAGGTCACTCTAGAAACTTCCATGGGTTCTTTCACACTTGAGGTACTCCTATTTCTTCTTTTTCTTAGTTGAGTATTTTGCAGTTGGGTTTTCTTTTTTGGGTAATGAAGATAAAAGTGTCAAATTTGATTATTTTATTTTGTAGATGTATTACAAGCATGCGCCAAGAACGTGTCGGAATTTCATAGAGCTTGCTCGAAGAGGGTACTATGATAATGTCAAGTTTCATAGAATTATCAAGGTATTTTTCTTTTGCTCTCATCTCTTTTCGATTGTTGCTAATTTCAAGTGATTTTAGATATATTTTTTTGATTTTGTGTATAGGATTTTATTGTTCAAGGTGGAGATCCAACTGGTACCGGAAGAGGTGGAGAATCTATTTACGGGTATATGTAAAGGCCTAAATGTTGTCAATAATGTAAATTGTGTATGTCAATTATTTCAAATTCGAGTTTGATTTCCAGTGTGAGTAGCAGAAGGCTAAGTAGCACAATATAACTACTTCTTGCTGGAGAGTAAGTTACATGAAACCAATCTAGAGGAACCAATCTTGTTAGTTCTGGAGACCAAGCATCTTTTTTCTCCTATAAACATGAGCCTCTCTAAAAGACATCAACAAGTAATGAAGGTCTCTTCTCCAAGGGTGTGACCTAGTGGTAAATGAAGTTGGAGGAGAACCATCAGGTCGCACGTTCAAATTCCAATAGAGGCAAAAATTACTAGGTGATTTTTTTCCATCCGCCTAAGGTGGCAAAGCCAAGATTCTCACTATGGAGATTCAAACTATAAAAAAGGGTAAATAAACGAAAAAGTCAAAGGATTCAACATATAGTTTATATAACGCCAAGAGGCAAGAGTCAACAATCATTCGACTCTTCAACTTCAGGAGGGTGGCCTTTCAATAATGCTAAGGGTCAAGTCCTTTCAATAAAGTCAAAGACCATGGCCTTTAGTAATCAAATGACCAACTTAGGAGACAAGATGAATTTCTCACGATTTAGGAGTAGCCTCTTATCCCTTATTTCATTTTGGTGCATTCATGAGACCCCTTTATGTATAGACCATTGGTCGTCATTTGTAGAAAGCCATATCTTTTTGTAGGCTTTCTACTTTTTCGTATACCTGTTATATACGGGGCATTGTTTGCCCAAACATTAATAAACTTGCTTAAAAAAACTTGGGAGAAGAGAATAGCTTAGTAGATCTAAAAACATCAGGAACGGACATCCACATTTTGATATTATTTACAACACTTCTCCATGGATGTCCATTAATAGATAATGTTAGAACTATCAAGCGATTTTCTTCTTCTAAGTTGGCCATTCTATTACTAAAAGGTCATGATTCTGGCTTTATTGAAAGGACACGATCCTTGGTACTATTGAAAGGTTATTGCCCCTTCTGCAGTTGAAGAGTCAAATGCCTCTACTCTTACCTCTTGGCGTTTTTGGAAGGATAAACCCTTGCCTATAAATAGTTAGGCCATTTTCACTTCCTGTAAAGAAGATATCAAAAGTAACAAAATATCTCTTGAAGTTCCTTGTACAATTCTCTTGTTTGACTTTTATTATTTTATAACGTGTTATTTCTAAATTCTATTAATAGACATCCAAGGAGAGTGTTGTACATAATATTGTATTTAATGTATGTGTCTGTTACTTTAAATGACTCCTACCGTCTAAGTTGCTCTGACACGGCATTTTAAGTGCCGCACCCGTGCTGACACGACACTAATATGGGTGTGGGTATGAGATATGTACCGGATTTGGTCAAACAATTTTGGGTACTTTGACCACGACAGACAGAAAAATTTGAGACGAGATATAATTTGATTCCAAAAATCAGAACCAAAACTAGGATAAATTTGATGAAAATAGCTTATCTTATCTAGGAAATCAATCCTTTAGTTATTTACAACTTGAGAATAAAAAAGAAATTCACACTTTACAAGCTATACGTAAGTATTCCACAATTTTTTTCATAATTTAGAGATATTTTTATATTTTTGTTTTTTGAATTATTTTTAGCCGGATCCCCACACCCGTATCCGTTCTAGGATCCGTATCCCCTAATCTTAGAATTTACATCTCGAAGGATCCGACCTCTAGATCCGCACCCGTGTCGGACACCCACACTCGTGTTCGAGCAAACTTAGCCCACAGTTCCATTTTACGTGATGCATTTATCTTGAGTTAAACATGCTTTCAAGTCCTTCAAACAGGGTAAAAAGAGACGATTTACGCTTTCTGAGTCCTTCCCCCGTAGAACACATTTTGAACACAGCTGAAACCCCCTTTCATCAAATTATCTTGAGTCAAACATGCTTCATTTGCAACCAACCGTGAAAAACATGCCACCTTATAAGGTATCTTTGCTTTCCAAAATTTTGAAGAACTCATCTATTTTACTCACTTTCCGGTCATTAAGCAGTCTTCTAAACCTTAGCTAGTGTTTGGACATAGATTTGGTTGAAACTTGAAAAAAGAGTTTCTGAAGTTGTGTTGAAAAATTATTTTTGGAGGTTGAAATTGTGTTTGGATAGGCATTTTACTTGAAAAAAAGCTGAAGTTTTGTGAGTGGAAGAAAAGGTTTCATTTTTGGAACTTGAATTTTTTTTGAAAAAACTGGTCAAATTCTATGATCAAACAATGTTTTCATTTTTTTTTTGGTTGATAAAAGTAAAAAAATCTATGTCCAATTAGATTCCACCCTTGTTGGCTCCAGACTTCAAAAATAGTTGCATCAGGCTGTTGATTCAAGCTGAAAATAGTTGAACATTGAAGTAATTAGTTAAACTTTCTTAAGTTGCTTTTGAAAAGCTAAGCAAAAAGTATTTTCATTTGCATGACTTCTTTCTCTTAAGTGTTATTATTCCAGCAGCTCCGCTAACCATCTGGATTATCTTATGTATTTTATAAATCAGTTTTACTACATCTGATTTGTCAGTGGTGAAAGGTTATTTAAACAGAAATAAATCTATCAAATTTTCTTAAAATTTTAGTCCCTCTGTTTCAATTTATGCGACACATTTCGCTTCTCGAGTTTTAAATTGTATGAAGTTTGACCAACATTTTGATATGTATTTTTTTAATCATATTGACATGAGAAGAATTGCAACTTATAGCACTTTTCATATAGTTTTACTAATCAATTTAGTTTCAAATATTAGTCAAACTTACTCTCGATAAGCGAAATGCGTCATATAAATTGAAATAGAGGGAGCAAAAAGAAAAGAGGAGGAGAGACGAAGTGGATCAAATGTGTAATCTCACGTGACTAAAGTTTGAGTTCAGAGCAGCATGCCGAGTACATAGTTACGTTGCTGCTGACTACACTTCTGTTGGAGGTTTACTAAAACCGTTCTAACTAAAAGTCTAAAACAGGAGATCATTCTCTATTTCCCAACAGGTGTGAATAATTGGGCTAACTATCTGTTCAAGGTTGCTGCAAACATACATATATTTTTCTACCACATGCTTTAGCTGTTGTCATTCTGCTTCTAGTTTGTTTTCTCCAGTGCCTTTGAAAAAGATACATCATTAACGAGGAATTGATGGTGATGAGTTGATTGGGGCATCTAATAGTAGAGTCATTTGCTGTTATCTATTATCATTTATGGACATGCTAAAACTTGTCTGTCATACATTGTGAAGAAGGAGATCATCTTTTTACATAATTGGCTTTTGAGTAATTTAAGAAGTAAACCTTGCAGCGCGAAGTTTGATGATGAGATAAACCAACAGTTAAAGCATACAGGAGCAGGTATCATATCCATGGCTAATGCTGGGCCGAATACAAATGGAAGTCAATTCTTCATCACCTTGGCACCTGCACAGTCACTTGATGGTAAGTACACATCCAGCTTGTTTTCCGACAAATTGTGTGAATAGTTTTTTCGTTGTTGAATCAGCTGGATGTCCTGTAGTACACATGGCTGATTTATTTTTCTGTACGTTGCTCCCTTAACAACTTTTTTCTGTTTGTGCATCAAAGAAGTGGAACTATAACTTTTGATTGAACTTGAAGCTATAAGGAACCATTTAAATGGTGGAAAAAAGGAGTTTCAAAATTCAGATGAATCCCGTGTCTGTCAAAATGTTTGAGGAGGCTCCTCTATGATGAGATGCTGGTCAATCTCTTTTAGCTTTTACTGAGACAAGATAATCAATTCATACCAAACCAAGCCGGAGGAAGAAATATTCGCTCTTCTTTCCTCGATTATGTGTAAAAATTCATGAGCTGCCTTATTAAGACTAAATTAAAATATATGGTACATAAAGCCACGATCAGTTCTTGTGAGCGTTCTCATTTTTCAGTTAGACGACTAAATTAGGTTCTGCATTGTCAGGATATAATATTTGTTTCTTGAAAGCCATGCTTTTGAGTGCCATATACAAATAGGCCTGATCCATTATTTTGGGCTTTGGGTTTCTGGTACAAGGGATCTAAAATGATTAGTTGTCACGACCCAAAATCTAACCGTGGTCGTGATGACGCCTATCGTGTTACAAGGTAAGCCTATTTCCCAAAATATTACTACTAAATTGATTATAAGAATTTAATAAAACAATACCAAC